CATTTTTTCTGGCTTTGACTTGATATGGTTAATGAGCATGACTAACGGTGCAAAAAGAAACTAGAAAAGTGGACATAAAAATATAGAAGAACCAATCAAATTAATATTTTTTAGTCATGATGAAAGAAAACATCATGACTGGTCATTGATGCAGATGTTTGCTAACTTCATAAAAACAAAACATTGTAGTAAGCAAAGGCTTTAGCTATTGTAGTTCTTAAGTATAGTCTCAAATTATTGTAAATACTTTCTGTTGTGCAGTCTGGCTATGCAGAGAGCTCGGGCTTGAAAGGATGTGCAGCAGGTGAGGGAGGTTAAGAGATGGAAGTCTGCTAATGAATATAGAGCGTGTGTTTAGAAGATGGAGGGAGTATTTTGAGGAGCTTGTGAATGAAGAAAATGAGAGAGAGGAGGATGGATTGGGGAAAGTTAGTGACTCGGGAAGTCCAGAGGATTAGTAAGGAGGAAGTGAGAGCAGCTGTGAAGAGGATGAAGGGTGGAAACACAGTTGGTCCAGATGACATACCCGTGGAGGTATGCAGATGTGAGGGCAGCAGATTTTTGGGAAGTGAGAGGATGGCTGAGGGATAAAGAAGAAGTGTACTGGTACATGTTTTCAAGAACTAGGTGATGTTTGGTAACAACAGAGGGATAAAGTCAATGAGCCATAACATGAAGCTGTGGGAAAAATTTGTTGAAGCTAGATTAAGAAGTGAACTACCGATCAGTGAGCAGCGGTAGATGTGAGGGTTGCTTTGAGAGTGTTGATGGAAAAGGATAGTGAGCAGATCTGAAGGAGTGGTACTGCGTCTTTGTGGATCTAGAGAAAGCATACGATAGGAATTAGGAAGATAGGAATTATGGTACTGTATGAGGACAGTAAGGCAGTGGTGAGGTGTGCAGTAGCAGTGACAAATGGATTCAAGTTGGGAGTGGGATTACATCAGGTTACATTGCCCCTATTTGTTTGTGATGAGAAGGAGCCAGTGTAACAAGGAAGCTGTAAGGAGCAGGGGTAGTGAAGGTAGAGGAGTTTAAATACCTGGGGTCAACCGCTGAGAGCAAAGGATGATGCCCTGAGAGGAAAAGAAAAGAGTGCAGATGGAGACAAGTGTCAGGGGTGATTTGTGACAGAAGGATAGCAACAAGAGTGAAAGGGAAAGTTTACAAGAAGGTAGTGAGCCCTGCTATGATGCTTGGAGACAGTACCGCTAAGAACAAGACAGGAGGCTGAGCTGGAGGTGGCTGAGCGGAAGATGCTAAGAGTCAGCAGATGAGATGATGTCAATATTCAGAAGTTGTCTTCTTTAGTTCATTAAATGATGGTTTAATCTGCAGACTCTATTCTATTTCTGTTTTTAGAGATATAAATAATAAAACTTACTGCCGGTTAATAATGATAAGAAATAAGGATGAAAAATAAGAAATATGGTTTTATCCAAACCATAGCTTAAAACTGATGGATGTATAAGAGAACTACTTGAAACCCACTCTTAACATTAACATTGCACGTTACATTATTGTGTATATTTGCATATTTCCAAATAGAACAGGCTGCTACTTAACACCTTGTTATAGTCATTGTTTCTTTTATAATTCATATTTGTTTTTGTTATAGAACGGAGCCGAATAAGCGAAAAAGTAGATATGCCAAAATGCAGCCAAGCGATACAGTACAGTACAGAGTATGGTGGGTTTTTTTCTTCACAAGATAACAGTCTGATAACACAAGCTGTCACCAAACATGGCTTTATCTAATTAAAAGCACACACCCTGCTTTCAGCAATAACCATGAGCCAATCAACAGAGAACGGATGCCAGTAGTGTTGTCAGGAAGACGTTTTCTTCAGGCCCATCACAGCCCAGCAGCCACTGTGAGCAAACTGGGTCTTGGACACATTTGTTTCCAGGGCAACAGCCACATGAGAAAACTTAACCACAGAAAAAGTACTGAAAAAGCTAATGACGGCTTTTTCATTCCCTTTGCTCGCTACTTAAAGCATATGATCAAAGAATACAAGGACTATTTTGTTATTATATGGCAAAGAAACAAGATGGACTGCTTTTCTTTTACTACAGTGAGCTAGCTGGGAGATTTTAATTTTCAGCCTTTAATCTTGTTACTGTTTTCCCTTTCAGAGCGCCCATCTGGCAATGATTGACACTCTGATGATGGCATACACAGTGGAGGCTGTGAGCGTGGAGAAGGTGATGGCCTGCATTTGTCAATATCCATCCTGCTACCCTGAGGTGGAAACACCTTATGACACTGAGGATGCAGTGACCACCTGGATCAACAAGGTCAGTTATGGTACACAATGTTTTCTTGAGACATGTTTTAGAGAGATAGAAATGACTGTGTTTGTGCCTGGTATTTTGTACCTGGCAAAAAAAGTGTTTGGGCCACAAGACTAGTGTCTTAAGATTACAGGTGTTGTTGTATTGCTTTCTGTAAGCCATCCCATGAGTCGACGTATGATTAAACATTTTATTTTGTCACAAGAAATGCAAACCTGCAGAAGCATAGGTCATTCTGACATCAAAACAACGTTTCTCATCAGTCATCTCTCAGCTGTGCAGCACAGGTCAATTTGTCCTCCTCACAGGAAAATCTTTTTTCTAAAGAACAAATAATATTTTGTAATATTACAAAAGTAATGCCCTTTGAGATTTTGCCATTTCATAAGTGTCCCCTTTCATTGTGTTCAGTGTCTTTTTAAGGAGCTCTTTCAAAAGTCTCACACAGGGGCGTTTCACCAACGTCGGTTTCATGAAGCTTGACCTCTGAAATTCACATTGCACAGTGAAGTCCAGCGAAAACACTGACCTAAATACCATGAAATCTGATCTAGATACACCATGTTGCCTTCGTGCCCCGAGGTTCTGCCATATGATGCATACAGGTAGATTCACTACAAATGAGAAAAAAATACCTGCACATTGTTGTGACTCAGTCTGCAGGTGAACCCTAAGACTTCACCTCCCCACCGCTCCTCGCTGGGCGCTGCTACCCTCCGCTGGGGGTACTTGTTGGTTCTGGGGCGCGTGGCTGGATGTTCTGGTGTGGCCCCTGGAGCCCTGGGACCCTGATCTTAGCTCACAGCCTCTAGGGCAGCCTCTAGTGGGGTGAGCTGCCCGTCGTCTCTGGTCCTTTGAGACTCCCACCCCTTGGCCCCCCACTTCTCCTGCTAGGATGGGCAGGCAGATATTGCTGAGATGTGTGGCCTCGAGTCTTCAGTACTCTTGGCTGCGGCTGGCCCAGTTCTCCTGGATCCATCTCTGAATGTGTCGGGCTCCTGAGAGGGGTTGTTGTAGCTTATGACAAAG